GTGCTGGGGATTGAACCCAGAGCCTTGTGCATGCAAGGTAAGCACTCTACCAACTGAGCTATGTCCCCAGCTTTTTGCTGGCTGTTTCAATGGCATTTCTGGAACTGAAAAGAGCACAAGCTCTTTTCTAAATCAGCTAGTTCTTCACATGGTGGCAACACCTTCACTAGCCTGTGTGAACAAGAATAAGATGATCCAGATTCAGCTCACCCAAAAGATGGAGAGCCACAGTACCTACACCCAGCCGGGCGCTGGTCCCCACTGTCTGGACACCAGAACGTGTCCCTACACATCTCTACCTTTAACACATGCAATTTCAGAGAATGCCTAATTTAAAACTTTGTAAGTTGAAATTCAAAAATAAAATCAATCTATTTCATGGGGATCCTGTAGACAACCCCAAATCTATAAATGGCCTTTGATGTTCACTGTGGCTGGAGGCACCCAAGTTTTGGAATCCTAATTACAGAAGGGGCTAGCAGAGGAGTGACAGCAGAAAGGCAGAGTGGAAACAGTACACGAAGACTGGTGCCCTTCCTGTGTTGCAGGAGGACAGGCACAACACCTCCCCTCACCCACACAAGCTCCCGCAGGATGGAAGGTGGCAGTGCCCGAGGCAAGGCTGCACTCAGCTCAGGTGAGGGATGTCCTGTGTGCACCAAGGACATACCTGCCTGGAAAAGGCCACTCAAGCCCCAGGACAGTGTGAGTTATGGCCAAATCCCAAAACCAGCTTCCCACTAAGCCCTGGACACAGGGATTGTGATGTTGCATCCTTGAAGGACTTCAACCAGCTCCTTGTCAAAGGAAGTGAGAAATAAAAATTTGTGCTATTTAAAAAAGAAATTCTTATGGGACAAAATTACAAGACATGAAAATCTTTATTTCCAAAAAGAGGTGTATTTTTACATAAATCTACAACAGAATTCAACTGTAGAAAAAATAAACTATATTTAAGAATACAGCGTTGAGCATAGCAAGCTCCTCCTCCATCCAGGAGGGGGCTGTACCCTCAGAAGGCAGGGTGGGCAGGCGCCGCTCCCCTCAGGAAGTGCCAGTACAGGGCTGCAACTGGCATTAGAAGACACCTCTTCCTGCAGCAGTGGGCTTCGTGAACAGATAACCCACGTGCTTACTTCTTTCCAGGAGGAGGAGACAGAAACTGCAGGAAGCTTCCTTATAGGATTTTTACCTCACCCTGTTTAGCCACTGGAGGATCCCCATGAGCCTGGCTAGGGACAGCTGACTGACCCCACTGCCCCTCCAGGAAAGCCCCAACTCCCTCTCCCAGGCCTGTCCACCTGGGGCCCTAACAGGGGAGCCGGCCTGTCCTAGCCAAGGCATCTGCAGACCCAAACCTGGCAGGCTTCCCAAGCACCAGCACCAGCTCCACGCACTGCTGTAGTCAGGGCACACAGGTGAGGGGACAAGCCTTCCCCCGTGTCCTCACCAACAAGGTCTCACCCAGCAGACCTGGGTCGGAACCCCTGTATCCACCCTGCTCGGGGTCAGGCTCCCCAAGAGCACAGTGAGGCAGCAGCTGTGACAAACTGCAGTTGAGGTTCCGAGCTCAGCTGCCACCTCCCAGACCTGCCAGGTTGCTGCAGAGGCTCCAGCTGGGTGGGGACTGGAAGGGGCAGGCCCATGCGCATACCCAGCATCCCTGAGGAGTCCCAGCAGAAGCCACCAAGAAGGAAGGAGGTCATGCCTTCAGGGGCAGCCGACCTGCTGGTCCTCAGGCCATCAACAAGGGGATAGGCAACACCTGCCCTCCTCCCTCCCGCACAAATTGGCCTGAGCCCAAGCTGTTTACAGCCACTCAGGCACCTCCTGCCACACAGGCCACTTCAGGGCTTCGCTCCTTGACAATGGAGAGCGTCCCCTCCCACTGGCCTTCAGACAGGAGGCAACAGCAGGGGCTGGGACAGAGCCCCTTCCAACCTCCTGTCCTCCTCCAGGGGACAAGCTTCACATCAGAACGCCGTGGACAAGTGTATATAAAATCCCACCTTTTATTACAGCTCGTGTGCAGCTGTGTGAGTGCTGGGCACGAAGGGGAAACTGTCTGCAGCCACCAAGCTGCCAGGCCACCAGCCTCCAACTCCCAAAACACAGAACTTCACACAGGCAACCTTACAGTGCTGCACTTTCCAGGAAGACTTGGAAACGCGCCGGGAACTACAACAGGCAGGGGTCGACGGACAGGCAGGCAGGCAGAGCTGCGGCGTGAGGACACCACGTGGCAGGCGAGGGTGGGAGGGGCCGGGAAAGTGGCCCAGGGCCCCAGGAGGGGACTGGTCACAGCGCTCCCACTGGGTAATAAAATATCAAAAATGTACAGAACAATTACTGGAAAAAACACAACCCATGATAAATTGAACTTCACTCTTGTAATAAAAAATTAAAAATCTGGTTGCCTCTCTGAGCACAACAGACTGGGATCTCCTCCCAGACAGGGCAGAGTTGGCAGAAGTGTCACAGCAACCTCTAGAACCTTCTGGTGGCGTGCACTTCCCCTCGGCCACCTCAGGCCTGAATTGGGCCCCTCTGCCACGTTTCTTGCCCATCAGGGTCAACGTCCCGACAGCCCCTGTGGCACCAGGGCACTTAGCAGTCACTCTTCCACAGTTTAATGGTCTTGTCGTTTTCTAGCGCAGCCGAGGCGATGATGTTCTCTGTCGGGTGACAAGCCGTGGAGATCACAACGTCTGCAAACAGAAAGGGGTCAAGGCCAGCCCCGCTGCCCTGCTGGCCTTGGAGGACAAGGCCACACCCTGCCTAGCCAGTGACCACCCAGGAAGGGTTCCAGGACAAGTGCTGGAAGTGCTGCTAGCAGCAGGGGTCGCTCTTCTCTCAAGGTGACCTCTGTGCCTCCCCCTGCCACGGAACAGAGCCCAAGCCCCACCAGGATGCTCGGCCACCTTAAGGCAACTACACACTACGCAGGGACGTGGGCACCGAGGAGCTGGCCAGCAGGCTGGCACTGTCGGGTGTCTGCAGCCTTACGTAAACCAAGCCCCAAGACTGCCACCTCAGGGAGAAAGCACAGCACCCCTCAGACTTCCAAAGGAGCGCCACACGCTGCTCCCAGGACCCAAGCAGAAGAACAGGGACAAGGGCAGCTAGGGGACAGCAGAGGGCACTGAGAATGCACAGGAGCCACCCCCTCAGAGCCAAGGACGCAAGGCGCCTGCTCGGCACAGTCTGCTGGAGGTGGGAAGTGCCTCCTCAAAGAGGCTGGAGCCTCTAGAAAATGCAGCTTGCCACCAGGGGACCATCGCACACCTCAGCCTCCTGGGAGTCACAGAGCCAAGTGGACATCTGGCAAAAGGAGGGCAGGTGAGGCCAAGAGCCCTGGGCATGAACCAGGAACCACAAGCCAGGACTGACCAGCTCTGGGGCCTAGTGCTACACACCTGGCGGCAGGCCTGGAAAGAGGAGCAGGAAGCAGGGACCACATACCCAGAGCATGCCTCCCGCCCCTAGGCAGTCACCCCACAGGGGGCCCACCTGTGTGCCCCTGCAGCTTCTGGACAATCTCCTTCGTCTGCAAGTTCCAAATGTACACCAGGTTATCTTCAGAGCCAGACACGATCCACTGAGTCACCACAGCCGGGGACAAGAGAAGACAGGCCAGCGCTCAGCATGGGGACAGCTACATACCCGGGCGCCATCCTTCCCGTGGCTGCTATGCTCAACCCAAAACACAAAGCTCCCTCCCGGTCTCTCAGCAGGACTGCCAGTCGCCCTGACCCCTCAACCCAGCCTGAGCTGAGACTCAGGAGCTCAATCCCCCAAGGGCCTCCAGGGTGTGAACTGCTCCCTTCAGGCACCACCCTTGGGCTCTGCTGTAGGTTCACACTCCGCCCAGAGTCACCATCTACTCTCAGGTACTGGACAGAGTCAGAGCATGACACCAGAGTCCAGGCCGGGAGGACAGGCCTGGGAGAGGACAGAGGGCTTAACGTAAGCCACAGTCGCAGCATCCCGATTCCAGGAAGACAATGCTGTTAGAACACACACCTTGTGGGCTCAGGAAAACTTGAAGGACATGAGCCACATGTGGGGTGGCAACAGGAAGAGAGGAGGAGGGTGGCAGGCTACTCAAAGGGGACTCACCTTCCCACCAGTCACAGAAAAATTGGCAAAAATGCAGTACTTCTCATTCTTGTGCCCAGTGTACGTCTTCAGGCACTGAAAAGGCAGACGCAGCAGGGTCAGAGTCCAGGTCCCTGCATTCTCAGATCCAAGCACAGTCTGCTGCCTGAACTTGACTCTGGAAATTATTCTAAATACACAGAACCCACACAGCCCAACCTAGGGTCCACCCACAGTCTAAGCTTCAACCTGCAGGCTGGCGGCAAGAAACCCCAGGTCTGTGGGCCCCACAGCCCCTTCTGCTTCGGCTTCCCAGACTGCCGCACCACCGCCAACAACCCCGGGCCGGAGCTCACCTTGCCCTTGCTGTAGTCCCAGAGCTTCAGCGTGCTGCAAGACAGAGAGGGGTGAGGAGCTGCCGCCACGCCACCACAACCGGAGACCAGCAGCACCAGGCACAAGGCTGCTGGGATCAGAAGCCCAGCCCACCAGGGAAGGGTGCCCAGACCAGGGGGACTCAGGTCTACCAAGTCCAGCAACCTGATGGCACACTGGAGCCAGCAGGAGAAACCCCCACATGAGCAGCTCACAGCCAGACTTCAGTTTCTGGGGGCTGTAGCCCCTCCTTCAGCTGCCAGTCCCAAAAAGGTGGGGCAAGTCCTTAGTTCCAGATCCCACAGACCAAACCCAGGGTAGTGAGATTCACCCTGAGCCCAGGGAGGGTGCAGACCATGGAAAACACCCAGCCACGAGGGCCATGCCAAGCATGCACGCAGGGGAGACCTCTATCCAGTCTTCACGCAGGGGAGAATCTATCCAATCTGGGTAAACCAGGTGCTCAGGAGCCGAGGGGCAGCTCAGGGGCAGAGCGCCTGTCCCGCCTGCAGCTCCAGGCACAGGCTAGACCAGCTACAGCCCAGCCACACTAGGTCTGGACCATGCCAAGCACAAGGAGCCTGCAGAGCTCCATGCTGGTGGGAGACACCCTGCCCCTGACACAAATCAAGCACTTACTTGTCCAGAGTGGCAGCCAGGATGTATTTGCCATTTGGAGAGAACTTCACAAAGGACACGGGGGGGTTATCATCATCTGTGCCAAAAACAGGCAGGCCGACTCACACACAGAGCAGGACAGCCTGCCCAATGGCTGCTCCCCGTCACCAAGTGTGACAACCGTGTGAGGCTGCTGCCACCAGTGCAGCACCACCACCCTTGGGAGCCCCTGAAGAGCCACCTGCACCCATTCCCCATCCCAGGGAAGCCTTGTAGTGTGTTCTCGAGGCCTGGCATCCTGGACCCAAGGGCCCTCAGATGCCAGGACTTGAGGAACAAAGTGCCTGAGGGGCCTCCTCAGTTGGGGGACAGGCACTGGCTGCCTCACACAGACTGAGGTTCGCCAGTCCCTGAGGGGGCCGGGAGACCTCCTCAGGGGAAGCTGGGCTGGAGCCATGGTGATGCCTTCCTCTGGTGTGGCTCAGGGCCCAGCCTCTGTGATCCCCAGCTCTGCTCCTCATGCCCTGGTTTTAAAGCTCAACGCAGGGCCTGCAAAGGCAGGGGCCACCCGTCTCCGCTGAGGACACGTCGAGGTCACTTCAGGGACGCTAGGATGCACATTCTCCCAGGGGGACCAGGGCGTCTACCCTTTCCCGGGTAAGGAGGGGAGGTGCTCCTGGGAAGGGGCTGTCCAGCCTGCCAGGGTCCCCATGCCCCGTGCCCCAAGCACACGGCATTACCACCAGGGGTCTGCCAGGGCCTCCGCTCGCTGGGGCTGGTCACCCACACTGAAAAGGCACACGAGGCAGTGTGAAGCTCGGCCCGCTGGCTCACCTGTGCAAATGGCGTCCGGTGCTTAAACCCAAGCCACTTTAACCAGCAGGACACCGGACACACCAGCTGCCTGGCCATTTGGGCCCCAGCAATCTAGCTCACTAGGCTGAGGAGAGACGGCCACCCCGCCACTTCCGCCCCCACCCTGCCCTGTCTCTCAGGCCTTCTTCTAGTCAACGCCAGGCCCAAGTCCTGGCCCAAGTCCTGGCCCTGCCCCTTGCAGTCTACATCCCACAGCTTAATCAGCCACAGGTCAAAACTACTACAAAAACAAAAATATTCCAGAAAATCTCAAAGGCGAGACTTGAATTTGCTGTGAGACTAGCACTGCCTGGTCCCCGTGGATGAGGGGGCTCAGCGCACACAGACCCTGCTCCGGGCACCTGCCAGCGCCTTGCACTCTGGCCAGCGTGGAGCCCCACGCTGCAAGTCCACCTCCATGTGACCACTGTTTCTGCTGCACATAAGAGCAATCCAGAGATGAGGATGTGTGTGGGCCCTACTCTAGCCACGCCTTTTTACACAGGGGACCAAGCTCCTGAGGAGTCTGGTATTCATGGGAGGTCCTCAAACCACCCCCCAGAGACAGAACAATGGCTGCACTTGCTGTGTGGCTTCAGAACAGTTACTTGACTTCTCTCTGCCTACAGTACCTGCTCTGTGACAGGCAGATACTCCTGAGGGCAGCTTACTGTGAGGACAACAGTGTGGTAACAGGAGCACGTAGATATCATGTGTAGCACCTCCCTGGTATATGTGCACCAGGACGGGTCCTGGCAGCAGAGCTGGGCATGCACCAGGAGACAAGCTGACAGACACAATTATGAGTCTGCTGTGGGTGGTAATAAGATGGGCTTCCAGAGCAAGAAGGCATAAAGGCCACTGTCCAGGTACACTGTCCCCCACTCAGGGGCCCCACCAAGAGCTTCAGGACCATGATTAGCCCGAAGACAGCTTCCCAGGTGGACACACTGAGGGGAGGCCTGTGGGGTGACCACCACCCAGCTTCCTCACCGCTGTCCCTTCTGTATCCTAGGCTGAAGTTGCAATTCTCCAAGCCTGCAGAGACTGGGCCCTGAACACCAACCTTCCAGGGAACACCCTTCCAGCCACAGGCTTCCACCTGCCCCACCCCGCCATGCCAGGTCCTCCCCTTCCCTCATCCCTAAGAAGCCCTCAGGCCTCAGCAGCACCCAAACAGGAGAGCACAATTCCCCAGAGAGGCAGCAGCCAGGAGCAGGGCACAGGTACTTGAGGACACAGCGGAGCAGCCCTGAGCAAGACCAGACAACACAGGCCAAGGGGCCCCAGACTGGCCTGAGAGAAGACAGCAGCAAGTTTCACAAAAGGAACAAGAGAGCTCGACAGGAAGTAGATGCTAGTAGGAGATGGACAACAGTGAAGATGAAGAGTGCAGGCCCAGCCCTACCCAGCCCCACCCCTATGGCACACTCACCAATGAGTGTCTTCAGGCACTGGCCCGAGGCGGTGTCCCAGATGCGGCTTCAAAGCAAGAACAAAACCATATGAGAAGGCCAGCTGCCACCACTGGCTCTGGGACCAGCCCCACTGCACTCACAACCTGGGCAGCTGTTCTCCTATGTTCTAGACACTGACCGGGCACCACGCCTGTGAGCACAGGAGGCCTCCACGGCCCAGGGACTGGGCTAGGCTCTTCTACAGAAGGCAGCCAAGGCCGAGGGTGTGGTGCAGGGCTCACCGGCAGGTCTAGACTCCACAGACCCCCAACACATAGGCAGGCAGGGCAGGACAGACCCTTGTAAAAAGGAGGCTGGTGCCATTTCCTAGCAACCCCGTTAGTTCAGCAACAGGAAAACAGGAGTCATGCCAGGTTCTGACGTCACGCCCGTCTCAGGGTTCCTGTGACCTCTGCCAACATGCAAACTGGAAGCATGCCCCATCGTGCATTGTCTCAGTACCCACACTTCCAGAGATGCTGGGTGGGGGTGCTGGCTGAACGTGGGAACTTGCTAACCATAACACGTGCACAGGTCATCTCCCAGTGTTAAGTCCCCCAGTCGCCAGGCTGGGCCATACTCCTTGTACCCCAAGGCCTGTGGAACTTTTTGAGATTCTGTCTCAAAAAATAAAAAGGGCTGGGAACAGGGCTAAGTGGTAGAGCACCCTGGCTTAGATTGCCAACATTGAGGAAAAAGAAAACCAGTCATATTCTCCTCCCATTTCTGGATTTTATCACCATGCTCCGGCTGCCGTGTTTCTGGGCTCTTTCTCACTGGCCCTGCTGCTGGTTCTGACCGCCCTCTGCCACATGCTTACAGACCCTGCTCCCCTCTATGGTTCACGCCTTCTCACCCACATGGCCACCCACTTTGTCCCTCTGTGCTATAGGTGGACGCTCTGCTAGCACTCCTCCCTCACTTCCCACTGCCAAGTTCTGCCAGTATCAGTGGTCCCTCCTTCTCCCACCACTCAGCCAGGTCCCCAGCCAGGACTCATAGGAGGCTTCCCGCCTCGGCTCGTACCTGCCCCACGGGTCTTCCCATCTCCTCCAACCCTGAGCATCTACCTCCTCCAGGTCAGCATAACACCCAGGGGACTTGGCTGGGACACCTCCTGCCAAGTTAATGGCACCAGAGAGTCGTCTCAAGCTAGGTCAGCCCCTCTCCACAGCTATGCAGGACACACTCGCAGCTCTTGACCACCACTCCCCCACCAGTCCTGGCTGGTCTCCCTCCCTAGCTCCTCCCCCACCTGCACTGAAACTGCAGCCCACTGGGATGTGCTTCTGGAAGATGAACATGTGTCCCTTTCTGTAACTGCGTCCCAGAGCCAGAAAGCTCAAGAGCAGGCCTTGAATGAGCACCTGTTGATTACATGAAATAAGATCCTCTCACTCACCAGAGACCATCGTAGCTACTTGAAACTATCAAGGATCCATCACGATTAAAATGGACCTAAGAATTAAAGAACAGGAGGAAAACAGAAATTATTCCAAGTCATCCGCACACCACTCCTCTCCCCAGCACCCTCCACCCAGGACTCACGACAGGGTGACACAGGCCTCACCACTCCTAGGTACCCAGACATACACAGCCAATCAGGAGCAACCAGTTCAGCGATGCCCCACCTGCCCTGTCCAGCACAGTCAGTGACAGAGGACTGAGCCCTAGCACGAAGCCAAACCACCCCACAGGATTCAAGCCAAACCACAAAGGCCCACAGGACTCTAGAGGGCGGCTTCCAGGCCTGTCTATCTGTCCTGCTGGGAACAGCCTGACAGGGCAAATACAGCCAAACCTAACTTCCCTGACTCAACAGAAAGGAAAGGCAAAAGGCAGGAATTCCAGTCCCTCTCCTTCATATACCTGTGCCTGCCCACCAGAGCCACCAAGAAGCTGAGCCCCAGCACCTAGCTGACTGCTGATCCCAGACCAGGAACTGGAGAGCCCACATGAGCTCTCAGCTGGACAGAAGGGATCCAGGTGGTTCCATACCCGCCTCAGAAGAGGTTGAGTTCCGCACATACCACTGGCCCAAGCCGACCTCCAATGACCCAGAGTTCCGCTCTCTCCATCTAAAGGTCTTAAAGGTTCAGCCTTGCTCCCCAAAGAAGGAAACGAGGTCATTTACCTTCCTTTTCTCCTGGAGGGGTACTAGGACTAAAGCTCTGGCCTTGCACTTGCTATACAAGTGTTCCACCATGGAGCAACATCCCAGGACAGCACTTTCTAATAGAAAGGACACTGCACCCGACAACAGTCCTCCTCTTCAATGACTCATTTCAACTCTTAAATTCTCCTTTCCAAGTAAGCCTTAGTGGAAATAAACGGAACCACAATGCCAGGAGTTGAGTCCCACAAAGCTGGGCACGGTGGCCACGCCTACAGTCCCAGCAGCTCAGGAAGCTGAGGCAGGAGGATCGTGAGTTTAGAGCCAGTCTCAGCAAAAGGAGGCACTAAGCAACTCAGCGAGACCCTGTGTCTAAATAAAATAGAGAACAGGGCTGTGGATGTGGCTCAGTGGTTGAGTGCTTGAATTCAATCCTCAGGACCAAAAAAAAGAGAAAGAAAGAAAGAAAGAAAGCACAAGTTTCGATCATTTTTGGTGAAGACTTGGGCAGACACGACCCAGAACAAGCCTTGCTCCATGCTTTGAGGGACACATTTCCTTTGTAAGTCAAGCCACAGGGAATCCCTGGATGTCATGATGCAGGGACAGGGCTGGGCTGTGTGCTCCCCCACCTGGGCACTGAAGAGTTCAGCAGACTCTGACCTGGAGCTGCCCCATGTAGCCGCAGTCTTGTCCCTCACCCACCAGAGGCCTGCAGCACCTGGCTGTGACAACCAAGTCTCCAGGCATAGCCAAGACCACATTCAGCAGGGGCTCCTGGGAGACTGCTACCACACAGGGAAGCACCTGGACCCATGGCTGAATCCTGACTCCGGGGCTGTGACAGGCCCAAAAACATGCCTTTCAAATACACTCAGGAGGTACTGCTGCTGGCCAAGGGGGCTCACCCAGGGGACATGAGCTAGACTCCATGGGGGCACCACAAGCCACAGTAGTATCGAGGTCCCTCACAGCTCCAGTCCACAGAACAGGTGAAACTGGTAGGCTCATTCACCCTAAGATGCCGTTCAGCATGTACACTAATAAAAAGCATGAAAAAGTAGTTGACACTTCTCCACTGTGCTGCCTCTGTACCTTGCACTCACAGCACTACCCCTGCTTGACACCACGTGAGACTGTGGCCTCACCTGGACAGAGCAGCTCTGAGCTTCCTCACAGTCATCACTGCTTCTACCGGCCCACATGGAGCTGCTCCTGCAGCATCAGGTCCTTAACCAAACATCTGGGGGCTGTCCCTAAAGTTCTCCCCAACTAACTACAACCCGTCTGCCCACACTCAGCCCTTGCCTTAAACACACAAAACAGCCTGAGGATTTTGAGAATCTTCTCGTTGAGGGTACTCTGCTCCATGGCAATGAGCCAACACAGGCCCAAACTCATAAGCCCAGTTCATGCTCCACTTACCTACCTACTGGCAAAAGTGGCCCATTCAACGTGGCTTTTCCACTCAAAAGACATTCAGTTCAAGGTAACACAGTCCACACCACAGACTGGGAGAAAGAGGTACACCAGCGAGGCAGAGCTCACAGGGGGACCAAGTGCCACCTCAGATGAACTGCCAGGAAGACCTCTGAGCAGGGGAAACACGGCTACAGCCAGGCAGCACCCAGGGGAATGAACAGAAAGACCAGCGTGTGCATGTGGGCATGGCTCAGCAGAGCAGCAGGGCGGACAAGGTGGAGGGGGGCAGAGAAGCCAGCCAAGTACCCACAGCCCAGCATCCAGCTCAAGACACGCCTGCTCAGCTGTCCCACAAGTGCCAATGCAGTGCAAACCGGTCACTCCTATAGATACAAGCAAGGTCACCAAAGGCATCCATCAAGGTATGTGGTCTCCCATGTTGGCCCACAGATACACACAACCAGAACACCCAAGGGACCTTATAAAGCAGCAGACATCACCACTGTCATCTAAAAACAGAACAGCAGCAAGGAAGGCTGAAGACGCACACAAAGCAGAAGCCCAGGCACCAAGGACACCAGCTCTTGTCACCAGCTGGGGCAGAGCTCAGGAGAACCTCACCTGCCTGCCTTTCCACTAAGTGTGCACACACAACCTTTGCAGGAAACCCATGGAGGACAGCCCGCAGCCCTCATCACTGGGAGCTCCCAAGCCCCTGCTTCCTTGGGGACACTGTTTCCTGGCTCACTCACAAGCCCATGTGAAAACCAGTTCTACCTGGGGTCTCAGATGCTGGGGGGCAGGGGCTGACAGCAAGGCTGAGCCAGTCCTGTGCGCACTGCTGCCTGCGTGCCTCTCACAGCAGAGTGCCCTATGCATTAGCAGCGGCTCTGGGCCAGCAAGGGCCACGTCGCCTGTCTGTCTGCTATGTGGTCTTAGCTGGGCAAAAGCCTCCCAAGGCCAAAAATGCTTAAAATCCTACACCACCAGGACTTCAAAGAGTGAGCAGCTCCATCAGGCACAGAGATGCAAACCTGTAATCTCTGCTACTCAGGAGGCTGCAGTAGGAGGATCACAAGTTTGAGAGGCCAACCTATGTAATTCAGTGAGTCCCTGTCCCAGAATACAAAAACTAAAAAAATGACTGGGGCTGTGGCTTGTTTAGCACTGGTGAGGCCCTGGGTTCAGTTCTCAGCACCAAGAAAAAGAAAAGTGAGCCACTCGTGCTGGCTAAAACAAACCACAAGCCTGATCCTTCTGCAATCTTTCCATCCACAGTGTGGCTACAAAACCAACTGGGGCTCTTGTTAACACAGAGACCTTCGAGCACCTTGTCTGTGGGGTGCTGGGATAGAACCTAGGGTCTCATGAATGCCCAGAAAGCACTCAGCCAGAGCTTCACCCAGCCTTGGGCCACTCTTTTTTTAAATGTGTTTTTTCTTTGTTGGGTGTGAGGGTACCAGGGATTGAACTCAGGGGTACTCAACCACTGAGACACATCCCAATCCTATTTTGTATTCTATTTAGAGACAGGGTCTCACTGAGTTGCTTAGCACCTTACTTTTTTGCTGAGGCTGGCTTTGAATTCACAATCCTCCTGCCTCAGGCTCCTGAGCCACTGGGATTACAAGCGTATGCCACCGGCTTGGGCCACTCTCTTAAACAATAGTTTGTTACATTCTATAGAGTATGACTCCTGTCCGTTTGTTCAGCACACTGGGATGGTGCGTGTGCAATGGCAGGACACAGACCCCATGCCCTTGCCACCAGGGGTCCCCACGGTTCTCTCCATGACTGGGCAGGCCCCGCCACCCATCAGCTCCCCACACAGAACTCACCTAACTGTGGTCACCCAACCTGACACAGAGCTCCCTCTTCTCCTACACCCTTCCAGGCATAGCCTATGGGAGTCAGTTCTGGGGGAAACCCCCCTGAAAGCCATGGCCACTGGCCTCCCAGCCTTCAAGGGGTCCTAAAAGGTATCTCAGCCCCAGAGGCTGCACACCAGCAGAAGTGTGCCAGGTGAAGCCACATGCACCCATCAAGGGGACTTACAGCTGAGACTGGATCTGAATGAGCCGGCAGAGTCTTGAGGCACTTCCCCGTCTTCACGTCCCATATCCTCACACTTTCATCAAACTGAAGACAAGAGAGGCGACTGAAATGACTATGGGAAGGAGGGGCGATGACAGAGGCCCCAGAACCCAGACCTGCCTGTCCCATGCTGGGCATGGGCACAGGACACAGCACACCCACAGCGTCTCCCAGAGGAGAGAGCAGCGCACTTACAGACCCTGAGACGATGAGATTGGACTGTGGGTTGAAGTTGCAGCAGAAGACGTAGTTACTGTGCCCCTTCAGCGTTTTCAGACACTTGCCCTACAACACAGCAGGATGAGACCACGTGGCTCCCAGGGGCTGTCTCCCCAGACACCAGCGCTGACTGTGAGCAACCGCCATCCTGTTCCACCTGTCCTGGCCCCTTCCCCTCCTCAGCTACCTCCGCCCACAGAGGACCAATGACACTCACCGAGCTCACATCCCAGATCTTCAAGGTTTTATCATCAGAGGCAGAAACGAGGAGATTGGAATCTGATGACCAGGCTACGTCCGATATTCCCTTGAGGAGAAAAACACAGTAACCATCCTCTAGGACAAAACACCACTGGCCAGCAAAAGGCCAAAGTCCCCACACTCATCATTCCCCCTGGGGAAATCCTCTGGCCAGTGTTAGCCACAGGAAGACACACTCTGGCCCAGAGGAGATGGCAGAGAGCCCAGAGAAAGTGGCTCTGCTGGCCTCAGAGACAGACAGGCGCACACCTGTGGAGCTGAACGGCTGGAGAGCAGCAGCAGGCAATCACACGCTGAGGGCATTAAGCTGCACCTCCCTCCCAAGAGCACCAGAGCCACCTGCTCCCCACACCTACCAGCTTGTGACCAGAGATGGTCTTCTCAAACTTCCCGTCATAGGCTCCCCAAATTTTAATAAGTTTATCAGCAGCTGAAAGAAATGAAAAGGAGCCGATGCTCAGGGTAGGAATATAGTTGCCAGTTACTCAAAGGCCAGATCCTGAGCTGTCCCACACCCTAAGCCCCTGCCAACCAGCTCAGATCACTCAGGGACCCAAAGGCACAGTCACAAGTAGAAGGGGCAAGCCCCCCCAATTCTGCCCCTTCACTGCAGAAAGGTAACTGGCACAATTTCAACAAGCAGTGATCCTTCAGTTTCAGAGAAGGGACACGCCATTACGCCATTTACCACAAGCCCCTGAAAAGCACACCCACCCCACTCTTATCTGTGATTCAGACCACCATCCCATTATCTGAGGTGCTCCATGATACGCACATGAGCTTGCCAGCCACTCTCCATTGGGACTGAACTTCACGGAGGACACAGCTTTTGTGTGGCCGGCCAGGGTGAATTTCAGAGCATAGTTTGGTTTAACAGGTGTGGGCTGTTGGAGAGAGTGCAGCTAAAGTGAGCCTAAGGAACCACACTGCCTGGTCACTGCCTGGACTCCCACAGTGAGACACCAAGCGCCCACCAACCACCCAACATCATCCTTCACGTTGACCAGGTCTAAGTCTCAGCCCATTACATCCCCGTCAAAGCCCTGATTCTGCTGCACTCCTCCCTCAGCACAGCAACTCCACCATTCCAGATACATGTCTGAGGTCCCTTAGGACCCTGCCCTGTCCCCAACACCAGGCATGGCCACCAAGTCCACACAGTTCCAGCATGCTCAGGCTTCCCAGAGGGCGTCTGAAGGCCCTACTTCCTGTACCTGGGGAGGGGGTCTGCAGAACAGATGGAACATGGGGCTGGATGGGATGATTACTCAGAGATGTTTTCTGGGTACCACAGATTTACAATCAGAACCAACCCCCCACCATTGCCCCCTAGGTGACAGATGTGGAAATCCTTGACATGGCACACAGTAGGCAGTCATTACAATAAGTGGCCGATGAATAAAAGTGGCTTCTCACAAAGGAGCTTATCTGAGTAGAGGAGTCTGGACAATTGGCTTGCAATAACCTCCCAGAGGCCCCAAGGAGCCCCAGGAGCACACCTTGCTCTGTGTAGCGGATGAGGAAGGGGTGGGCTGGGCTCTTGCAGCCTCTGTCTCGGGCTTCTTCTCCTCCGTGGCCATTGCTCTGAAGCCCACGTGGCAGGAAACCTCTGGTGGAGAGTCACAAGGGAATAGCCTATCTGCTAAGCAAATCCTTTAATGGAGGCCTAAAAACAAATCATTTTTTAGAAAATTAATTTCCAGGACTAGGGGTGTAGCTCACTAGCATGCACAAGGCCCTGGGTTCTATCTACATACTATCCCCCTCCCAATTAATTTCCAAGAGAAAGGATAAGAAAGAGAAAAACCTGACCATATTGAGACCTGCCGCTAAAGAAGCTGTTGCAAACTGGAGAATGTAACTATTACCCTAACTCCCGCCACCACTTCTCAGTTGGCACCAAGATATTCCTGCTCTCACCTCTTCTGTGATCCTAAGACACACAGCAGGGCTTCCTATTACGCTATCCAGGCATCTGCAGAAATGCAGCACAAAGCATGCAAACAAAACACAAGGGATTCCAGGAGCCTTTGACACATCAAAAAGAAAAAAAGAAAAGAAAGGTTTCGTGACAGAAACCAACCTGTCAAATGTCAGGACACTGAGCTTCAGAGTGCACAAGCCTGGGAGCACATCCAAACCATAAAATGAAGCCTAGGGGATGCAATCATGTTAACAGCTCTGTGTGAACACACAGGAGTACGCAGCCAGTGGTCAGCACCTATGGGTGGGCCTCGCTGCTCCCTGCACAGACTGCAGATGCAAGGCTGCCTTCCGAACACCAACATTCACAGGACTCCAAGCCCATGCAGTACTACTGAAAAACCGCAAGAATATACCAGAGTGGGCTCTTCCCCAAGAGTTTCCACATCCTGCCCTCGGAGAAGCAGCCTAGGGTGCAGCTTGGGCATCCTGCATTAAGACTCACACTGCAGAGGGAAAAAAACTGCAGCTCAATCCAGCTTCGGCTTAACAATCTCAGTCCAAAACCAATGACTGTTTCCTCTAACATGACAGACCGTGCTACCTGAATACACCTCATGAAGGTGCTATCCAACCAGGGACGCATCGTTAAAAGAGAAGCCATAGACATGCTTGCAAATGCCACTGGTTGGACTGATACTCAGCTCTACCATTCGAAAATGAGTCTGCACATGGGGCTTCAGACTGAAGTCTTGCACAGGCCCATGTAACACTAAGGCGAAACAGGCCATCAAAAGGAGCATGTCTGATCTTCAAAGGGAGAGAAATTACAACTCCACCGCACAGGACACTGGTGTAGCCACGCTGTCACCTGCAACAGAGTCCACCCAGAGATGGATAGTGCTGTGCCTAAAGCCCAGGGGCAGGGTGGGCGTGGGGGTTCTGCAGACCTCTCTGGGGACAAAGCACTGGTAAATGCCAGCTGCTTGCTACTTATCCTCGGAAACAACCTACTGATGTAACCCCAAGGCCACCATCTCCTTTGTGGGTTGGGCAGGCATCAGAGAGACAGGAACCAAGGAGACCCAAACAAAGCTGAGAGCGGAGAAGACCTGAGCCCTGCGCCAACCCCGGTGAACCACACCAGCACAACACAAGGGGCTGTGGCGCTGGGTCTGGACCACTGGGGAGTGGGGGCTGCGGAAGCAGTTCCTTCTCCCCTAAAGCAGCGTTCACCTGGAGGTAGGCAGGCGGCCCCTGGTGAGGAACAACACAGAATGGTCTTACAAGAAACCTTCAGGAGAGCAAAACACTTAACATGTAAGAAAATCAGCTCCCACTGCACCGAGTGGGGTCCAGGGCCACCTTCCCTGAACGCCCGGGTTCTAGGAACTGCTGAGGCAGCAGGCCAAGGGTCGGGGGCTGGGCCTTGGGGAAAGAGCGCAAGAAAGGTGACCTGGGTGGCCCCCGTCCGCGCGCATCAGGCGCCGCGCCCCGGCGGGGCAGTCGGCCGCTCC